AAATTGAAATCACATTTTTAGAGGTTTTTGAAATTTGTCGGTGAAATTGTAATGTGTCATTAAATAAATATTGAGAAAATTGAAAAATTACCTCTCTAAAGTATCATCTTGATAAAATTTGCTAAAAGAAAAGATATACTATATGTTAAAAGCGAAGAACTGCTTCTGGTAGAAATTTTTTATGCAGGATAAAATAAAAATAAATATAAACAATATTGAAAAACCAATAGATCCCTCACTCCGCTCAGAATCTAATAATATTGATAGTAATATAGTTGATAATATCAAATAATCAATTCAAGTCATATTTATTGTTCTTTTTATTTAAACTATAAAAGAATGTTATGAATCAGTTTAAATCAAGAATGGAAAATGTTTTTAATTTTTGCGTTTTCGTTTTTGATTTCGTAACAAATTTTTTTTCTGTTTTTGGGATTTTTTGTTATGGTTTTTTGTTTTTGTTTTATTCATTGTTTTCGTTTTTTTTTCCGTTTACTAACGTTTTTTAAAAACGTTTTCCATCCCTGGTTTAAATTATTTATTTTATTTTATCACTGTGGTGTTATCATTGTGTATCTTACCTTTACATTTTTTCTGACGCTGGGAATTTATAAAGTTGACGGAGTGATTGTTTACAAAAATACAGTACAAATCAATTGTAAAGCGAATTGCCTGTTACATGTTATAATTATCAGTGATAAATAATAATATTGTTTATGGCTGGTGGAATCAATAATTACGATAAAGAAAAATTGCAAAAAATAAAATAATAACTACCAAGTCAATATTGAAAACACAAACACATATCAAAAGTAGACAAAACGTGTATTACTAATATGTAAAAAAATAAAGAACCTTGGGGGGGGATCTATCCCCCATATCCCCCCCCGTGAGAACGCCCATGCTGTGTACCTACTTCAACACTTAAATTTAGGAAAAATCTTTCATCACATTCTAATAAAGACTACTGCATTCGAAGGTTATTTTCAACGTCATATTTTAGCCATTTTATTTGCAATGAAGAGAATTCTTCATTAAATACTATAGAATCTTTGAACAAACTTTCATAAAAGGTTATAGAATCTTTTGATATATCTAGTGAATTTACGTTAATACGACTTGAAATTACTTTTTCTAAGTTGATTATTATTTGTTTATGTTGAATAAAACGTAAATGAATAATGACATATTTCAAAAATGGATTAAATATTGTGCGTCTGTAATATTCAGATATTCTTCTGCAGGTGATTTTGAAGGAGTATTAAAGTATTATAGGAGTATATAGTATCCCGGTTTCATTGTTTTTTTTTACGCAGCGAGGCATTGTCACTTCACTACCTACATCATTCAGTATTTGATTACTTGTATCATATATTGCTTTAAAATTGGAATTACTATTTTCATGAAGATTACTAAGATCATCAATTACATTTTGAACGTAATCACATGCAGCAGTTAAATCAGAATTTACAGTCGGTAAGTAATTAAATAGTTGTAATTTATAAGAAAATACTTACTTTTTCTAACAATATTTTTATATTTTTAACGCTTTCGATATTTCCTATATTGTCAGTATCAGTGACCTTTTATTAATTTTTATTTGATTGGAACCTTTTCATCCTCTATACATTTTAACACGTGGCAATAATGTATTCTTTTGATGTAGTTAACTTGCTAGTGCAATAGCGTAAATGTATATAATAATAAATCAATCTTATCTATGGTACTAGGCAGATCGATAATGGATTATATAAATAAACCTGGAAAAAATTTGTAGTATTATACTTCAAATGAAACCATCCCCCCTAGGGACCCACATGACGACGAATATATTGATTTTACAATGATGTAAGTATGTTTATTTTTTGCAAGTAGGCACTGGTGTACCACTCCGGGGCGTTACAAGGGGGGGTCAGACCCCCCATTGGATTTTCATTACCTTAGTAAAAAGTTTTGAGAGGGTGGGGGATTTTCCAATTTTTCCCTCCCATTTAGCCATTGCGGTTTTTTTACCCCCCCCCCTTTCAGAAATCATGTCTACTCCACTGGTACCGCTCACCTTAAAGTAGATGTTGAGTGTACCTCGTTATTGACTAGGTCACTGCAGTATATTTGAGTTAATTATAACTCATTGTTAGTATACTAAAAACAATTCGGTTAAGACAGCTTATATTATTAATTATATTTTATTATGTATTTAAATTTAATAGTATATTGTGTGGCAAGAGCGGAAGTGTGCTATTTCAGTCGCAGGCGACATGTGTGGCACGAGCCATACATACTATTTCCGTCACGCCTCTGTATTCATTGATATCGGCAAAGATAGTCCAGGGATGATTGATTTATGCAATGACCAGACTATTCTACGAAAACGATTTCATGAAAGAAATTCTTTGGGTTTATTTATTTTAAGCGTCATGCATGAAGGGTATAATATGAATACAATATGTAACCAAAAGTTTATGTTTTGTAAGGACCGTGGTACAGATTTCAGTATAAATAAAAATTATTATATTAAAATAAAATAAGAATAAAAAAATGTAATCACGGCAAAGGTAATGCATTATTGTAGCGTTCCATGACCAGGGACTGGAACCTTTTGAATTTATCGGTATCGGTTCCGGTACCAGTTCTCCAAAAATGAAATAAAGGTTCCGGTTCGGTTATGGTTCGTTGATGAAAAAAAAAATAAAGGTATCGGTTCCAAATAATTTTGGTTCCAGTTCCAGTTAATTTCGGTACCGAAAAGTATAATAAATTTTAAATACCTATCCAGAATGCGAGATTAATCAATAATATGAGAAATATTATAAAACTTATAATATAATGATATATAGATGATAGATTATACACAAAACAGTAATACTTTTAAATTATGATAAATAAAATAATTTTATTTTTGAACCTAAAAGTACCTTTTTAATTTAAAAACTCCGATTTTTTTCCGGTACTTAATTTATTAAAATGAAGGTTTTGGCTTTTAATATTTTGAAGGTTCCGGTTCCAGAACCAGTTCTTTTTGGTTCGGTTCCAGTCCCTGGGCCCAAACTCTACGGACTAATATTATTTTATAATCCATTAATTGATTCTACGGACCACTAACTGGATCATTCTAATTTAACCTATAAACTAACTATAAATCATAAGTAACATTTGAAATTAAAATTTGCTAATTGACCACTAATGGCAGTAATGGACCATACATCTATGCAGACCTTGCACAATGTATGAACTATAATCTCATTCATAGGATACCTTTTTGCAAACCATTTGCCCTTCTAATAATTTGAGGAACATAACAAAATAAGCATAAGAAGCGGCAGAATCTAATTGATTTGATCTCTACGAAAACAACGACTTTTAAAGACATTTGCAAAGTCCATGAGTGACCATATCATATATAGAAGGTCCAGAAACATGAAATACTCAGATGTACCATATCCGTTAAAACCAGGCAACTTCATGCCACACTCAGCTACATATTATACAATTATATGAGTACTACATGAATTATATTACTAGCATAAACGACTATTTCATTTTACTATTCAAATTGACTACGACCTGGAGCTTCCCCCCCTTTTATCCGAGCTTGATAATATGAATATGATATGTCGTGTAAGGACCATGGTATAAATTTCGTTGTCTTTTTTTTGTGTGTTATCGAGAACCTGGAGAGGAACTGGTTTTGGCATTGCTTGGATTTGCTGGATTATACCTGCATTTTAGGACGCAGTGCGAGAGAGCACTTGGTTGAACTTAACCGACTAATTTGGCCATGATGATGGAAAAGGCATCTATGACGAATGTCCGGGAAGAAGCCTTCAATAAAGTCAGAACTGACCTCATAGGCGTTGTGGACGAACTTGTAAACTAGCAAATGATGATGCAGGGACGACTGATTGAGGCTAGATACCAACGGTCTTCTGAGATGAACTCAGAAGGATTTAATCATCGGACTTTCTGAAATTGGTGTGCCTTTGACGGCGGGAATGCCTGACGGGGGAAACAATTTCGGAAAGAAGGTTGATAAAATCCTACTAGAGCTTCATGCCAAGGTTAAAAAAAGAGCAGAAGAGTGAAGACACAAATGCGATAAAAGAGCCAAACTTGAAGAAGAAGAGAAAACCAATAAAAATAAAAAAGATCGAGGTAGGAGAAAGTAGTGACGAAGGTTCTGGTTAAACGCCAAGTACCTGAGCAAAAGGCTGGAACTAGTAACAAAGAGATGGCGCCAGCAACAGAACCGGAAACCATGTTAAAATGGAAGAAGGGAGAAAAGGTGACAAAATCCCAACCAGAAAATGCCAAAGCGAAACCGGAGGTGAAAGCCAGCTGTGAACCACAAGAGCTGAAGCCAATGACTGCTAAGGGAAAAGCCGAAGAATGGACGACAGTGGATAGGAAAGTGAAAAGAGGCAAAAAAAAAAAAGAGAGTGGTCCCGAAAGAGGTTAAAATCCTTTTAGAGGAGACACAAAAAGCCATAGGAAAGAAAGCGGCTACTTCCGGGGGGCGAGACAGGAAGCCGGTGACGGGTCAGGGAATGGCAAAGTTGCTGAGGTGACCGAAGCGGAACTGATCAAGAACCTTTGGACTGAACTCTCGAAGAAAAAATGTACGCTGAAGTTTAAGAGACTAAAAAAGGTAGGAAGAGACAGACGTATGTTGAACCGCAGAATGATTATACGAGAAAACTTCTCCAAAACGCCTCGCTTGATGAGCTCCAAGCGGGCTAGAGAAATTCTCGGGTAATCGTCAACGGGGCTGGAATCGGAGTATAGAACGTTTGTTGGAAGAACAGAATAAAGATTCTGTGTAACTAACAGTGTGGTGCCATAAGGGACTTAAAATGATTTCGATAAAGATGCGAGGACGAGGTCCAGGTCCAGGTCGAGGTCACACCAGTGGTCGCTGGTGAGCTTGTGGGAACAATGCTGTACGTGGAGTTGACACGGTGTCGGGTCAGCCATAGTGTGAACTTTCGGAGATGCTATCGGTGTCAAAGATACGGACATGTTGGTGCATCATGCACGACGCCGTCGGCGGTCTGCGCGTGGTGTGCGCCGTGCGGGAGCCATCTCCCTGCGCACTGTGTCGCTCGTTGAGTTTTTTCAAAGTGAACTTGTTGGGCTGCGAGTGGTAGGGCGTGTGGCCATGTCTCGTATGACATCTGGAAGTGTCGAAAGTTTGAGGTAAATATCCGAAGAGAGGTTCGGAAATTTAAATGGACAGGTGTAATGATAGGGCAGGTAAAAACTTGACTAGGGAAACTGCCAGCAGATGACCTTCTGTCCAAGGTAAGAGATAGAGAGGTCTGGATGTAGTATTTATCCAGGAACCCAACTTGACGAAAAGTACAACGTTTGCTAGTGTCGGCAAATCTCCTATCAGACTTATAACGGGCCACTTGCCTTTTTAAAAACCAGACTGATAAACACTGATAACTCAGCTTAGCGGGAGTCATCTGGTAATCGCGAGGAGCAGAGCTTCTATGTGGGCAGTGCGTACATTCAGTTCTCGGAGCTGACTGAGCTTTATGTTGAAAAACTGGAGGTGGTGGTTCTGGGGCTGGATGGCACGAACTGGTTCATTTGAGTCGATGTGAACAAGAAATCTAAACTTTGGGATGATACCCATACAGACAGGAAAGGAGAAATGGTAGAACATATGATAATGCTTGGAGACTTGTGTTGTAACGTCGGGAACAGACTAATCTTCATGACATCTATGGGATCAGCGATACTCAATCTGACGTTATCGTCAGTTTGAGCTGAAGTGAAAATCAACAAATGGAGGGTGTTAAAACACGATGTAACGAGTGATCATAGACTTATAATATTCCACTACGGGGTAAAAAAAGAGAAAACGGTAAAGAAAAAAGTAAGAGATTGGCTGACTGAGAGACGATCGAAGGTCAATCAGACTATCTTGAAAAGGATATACATTTTATAGCAGATAATATAACCTCGGCAATACGCGAGGCCTGTAATCCATCAATGCCTTGAGTGAGGTCACTCGCACTCTGGAAACTTTCGTTGCATTGAGGATTGATGCGCAAAGGTGGAAGATCGGCAACTGACGTGCCGAGGTAAACGTGGAAAGAACATCCGCATTAGGGGAAATGTATAGAAGAGAAAGAAATAGTATACAGCAGGAAGATGAAAAGAGCAGAGGAGAACTTGGTGAGTATTTACTGCAGAGAATTGTAATGAAATCCATGGGGGCCCACCTACTTATGGTGCAAAGGAAGGAGCCAACACCAACTAACGAGATGTACTCGCAACCCTCCGAAAGATAAGAGGTGGGTGCACGGTGGGTCCAGAAGACACTCTGGAGTTGCTGCTCGAGTCACTGATCCCTCCAAACTCGGAAGAAGGGGAAATCGGGGAGCACAAAGGAATCCGAGATGAGACCGGAATACAACTTGGTGAAACTGGAGACTTACCTGGGTGGATTGACGATGAAAACAGCCAAAAGGATTAACTCACCCAGGAGGAGGCAAAAAGAGAGATCTGGTGAATGAGAAGGGATAAAGTTCAGGGGGAGGACGGTAAAAAAGACCAAATTCTACGTACAGTTTTCCCAGTGATATCAGATATAGCGACCACTCTTTTCAATGAGTGTTGGATAGTTTTCCAAGAAGGTGAAAAAGAGCGATGGTAGTGCCCGTATTGAAAAATCAGGACAAGAATAGATCCGACCCAGAGTCATACAGGCCCATTAGAATACTTTCAGTGTTCTCAAAGCCATTGGAGTACCTGGTGTGTCTGAGGCTGAGAGAACAAATCAAACCGAGGATGACCGAAAAACAATTTGGATTTACGGCGAATAGGAGTTCAATTGATGCAATATTGAGAATGAGAGAATGGGCCGAAAGTCGAGACGAAAATTACGTACTCGGGATGTTTTTGGACATCTCGGGTGCTCCCTATACCGCTTGGTGATCGCCGACTGGCTATATTGCATCATATGAAAAGACTAGGTGCGACGAAGAGAATGTGCGATATGACCCATAGTTACCGAGATATACTCTATTCAAAATAAGACCGTGACCAGGCAGCGACCAGTTTTCGTCCGGTGGCGGTCAGACATGGTGAAACGCCGTCCCCACCACGGCAGTGCGTCGGGCTCTGCCACGAAACAAAGCCACGCCCATGTGCACAACTCGGCCGCCCGGTCAAGGTCTTATTTTGAATAGAGTATAGTTGATACACCAGAATTACCGTTCCAAAGGTTTTTTTTTCGAGAGGATGCTTTCCGAAGGCTGCCTACAGGGCAGTCAGTTTGGGCCGGCACTCTGGAAGATTTTGATGGACTCACTACTGAGTTTTGACGAGTCAGAAAGAGAGCTATCCATCTGCTCCGCGGATGACGCTCTGCTGATTATAGCAGTCAGAACAAGTAAAGAGGTCATCCAAAGAACGGAGGAGAAATTAGAGAGAGCGAGTTCCTGGGATGGCGGGATAAAGCTGAACATCTCAGCCGCAAAGACGTAAGTCATGTGTCTGAAAGGAAAACTGATACCACCCTATTCTGTTAGGATGGAGGGAAAGTGGTTATCGGAGGTGACAGAGATGGACTACCTCAGAGTCACATTGGACGATTTGTGGAGTTTTAAAAACCATGCGAAAATTGTAACGGAAAAAGCGCCTCCAATCTTTAAGAGGATCAGACGGATCGTAGCCTCAACATCGGGTCTTAGTGGTTGTACAATGGGAAAATTATACCTAGGTGTATTTGTGCTGAGGATGACTTACTAGCGCTGCCTTGCGGGGGTGAAACCGTAGCGGATCGTACGACGAAACGTCTGCTGTTATCGGCTCAGCGGAAGGCACTTCTGTCTATCACACTAGGATACGGCACCACGACTGCAGATGAACTGCAGGTGTTGTTGGGGGTACTCCTGTTAAACTTGGGAGGTAAGACGATTGGGCCACGTCGCTAGGAGTAGAAGAAACGGGCTCCTAGGGAGCAGGAACTGGAAATAGAGGAGGAAGTGTGGCAAACACGATTGGATGAGAGCAACAACGGTAGAATAACACATAGCTACTCATATCGGTGAAAGAAAGGTTGAAGCGTAGGTGGATAGATGTGGGACACGAAACGTCTCAGTTTTTCAAGGAACATGAAGCTTTTATATTCTACCTAAAACGCTCCTCTAAATCAGAGACCGACGAATGTAAGGCTGGTGTTGCGTCGGATACGGTTACCCATATCAAATGAGACTGCAAAGCATTGACAGGCGTGTGGCAGACACCAGCCTTGTGAGCTGAGGTGGAGACGACCGAAATCTGTAAACAGTTCCGGTCGTTTGTGCGGGACGCTGTGGTTTCTCGGGGTGGTTTCTCAAAGTGGTAGGTCGTAGGCTAGATGAGTGAGAGCGTCAGGCACGCTTTGTTAGGGATTGCAATTGTTAGTGACGGGCCTGTGTGAAGAAGCTCTATGGGGTGATGTCTGCGATATCTGGCGGCCGGCTTCTCGATCAAAATCGTTCGAGTTGGCACCTAGAATGTGAGATGCAGTGAAAGAAAACGTTGATGACGAGAGAGACGTGGATGTCTAGTCTCGGGCCAAGTGCTGCGGCTTCTCATTCAGTGGCCTACGTGTTAACATTAGGTGCGCCGGGGGCGCGTGGTAAAGGTGCACGACTGTAAAGGTCTGCAGATCTTGGGGGGTACTCACTCCATTGTAAAAATAATAAAATTAGTGGTCACGACAGCCGTGCAACTCGCGATCGCGGCGTTGTACGGGCTCATAACTAGCCCTCTGATATCTGAAAAAAGTAAATAGTCGGGAGGCCATAACTTAGATAATTTACTAGCAATGATACACCTCTTGCCGAAACGTCACACTTTGGACGCCCGGTTGTAAAACTTTGGAAAAGTACTATGGAAATGGCCTCTGGATCCAAACATCGGGGAAACCGATCAATATATTATTTACATTCAAGGATCAGATAATGTCGTGCCGGATACGCTATCAAGAAACGAAATCGCCGGAAGAGCTGACCTGCCGATGGTGCATCAATTTGCCGCTGATCAGGCTTCCAACCCGCAGCTGCAGCAGTTTATCACAGGTTCCACGACGCGGTTGCTCCACTTTCAACAGCGATTATCACCCGATGGTGTTGTCTACGTTTATTATTCGACCGGCAACGCACGCATGTTCGTACCGTCCGTGCATCGGATCCGAGTTTTTAACGAGTTACACGGTTTATCGCATGGCTAAAGGGCACGCTTCGTTTAATAAAATCGCGATATTCCTGGCATTACATGAACGAAGATATCGCGAGTTGGACCAAATGCTGTAACCATGTCAGCGTGCCAAGGTAAAGAAACATACGGTATCCGGGATACCAAGACGATAATACAGTATCCAAATGTGCGCCTTTCGCGATACCCGTAAGATGATTTGGCCATATACGTGTAGACCTCGTCGGACTTCTACCCGTCCAATGGTTTTAAATATCTGCTCATCATCTTCGACAGGTTCTTTCGACCAGTTTTACTCTCTGGCCGGAAGCCTGTCCCCCTGAAAACATGTCAGCACACGTGATCACGCAGGTGTTAACCACGAACTGGAAAGCTGCTAAGCTTGACGGAGTAATGACTTGTACTACTAATACTAGTATTAGTATAAATCAGTGGTTCCCAACTGGTGATTCGCGGACCATCAGGGGTCCGTCGACTCATCTCAAGTGGTCCACGAATGAAAAAATTTAAATTAAAAGTAATGAGCGAAATTATACTTCATAATTTTTGATATTTACGGCTTAATGCCTAACAGCCAAATAATACACTTTCGCGACCCATGACAATTCATACATGGATCCGGTCATGTGGGTATAGCTAAATTATGATCAATAATTATTTCAACTATACTATTATACTACAGTAACTATTACTATAAGTATTATGTCTCATAATCTGACCATAATATGTTATGTATATGGTTTATTATCACGTAGGTATTACCTACTCGTTTCGTATTTTATCTACATCAATTTTATTAATATATGCTATTCTTTTTATACTCGTATCATATTTATTTGTCATATTGTAAGTTAGTACACTACTCGACTGTGTGAAGAAACTATTTTCTAATGAGTTTTTAATTAATTTACATTTATTTGTTTGTATAATTTTGCTATTAAACATGCCGAAAAGAAAATACAATAATGAATACATTAAATTTGGTTTTACCGGTATTAAGGTGAATAACGAAGTAAGACCACAGTGCGTAATTTGTACCGAGTAATGATGCGCTAAAACCTGCAAAATTGGAACGACATTTGAAGACAGTCCACCCAAATTTTAGTGATCGTTTTCGAAAATTCTTTGAAGGTAAGAAGGAAAACTTAAAAAAAATTAAACTTAGGACAACAGGTACGAGATTTGAAACCTCTGAAAAAGCGCTTCATGCCTCATATAAGATCTCTCTATTAATTGAAAAATCCAAAAAACTTCATACTATTGGTGAAACTTTGATTAAACCGGGTTTGTTGAAAGTCACCGAAGATATTTTAGTTAAGGAGACAGCAAAAAAAAAAATAAATACCATACATTCCTTTATCAAATAACACTGTAAAATCTCGAATAGGAAATATGTCACAAAACATTGAAGAACAACATATATGCCCCATGAAAAAAACCTCCTTGGTTTGCTCTTTAGTGTGACGAAAGTACGGATGTTGCACAATGTTGTCAATTGCCAATCTTTGTTAGATTTTTAAGTGGAGATAATACAATCAAAGAAGAATTATTACTATCACAAATATTAGAAACTATATCAAAAGGGGTTGACGTTATGAAAATAAATCTTGATTATTTTGGAAAACATAATCTAATGTGAGTAAATCTGGATGGATTTTGTACCGATTTCACTCCTACTATGCTCGGGTCACATTCAAGTTTAGATACATTGATAAAACAAAAAAATCCAACCATATTAACAACGCATTGTATTATATATCGTCAAGCGTTGACATCCAAAACATTACCAAAAGAACTATATTTTGGGATGAAAATATCCATAGAGTTAGTCAATGCTGTTAAAAATAGTGCACTCAATACACGTGTTTTTCAAATATTATGTCCAAATATAAACTCTGAGCATGAAACATTACTATTTCATACTGAAACAAGATGGCTTTAGAAAAAAAATATGTTGGCACTTTTATTTGATCTTCGAGGGGAGTTGAAGGTTTTTTATTCGATAAAGGTCTATACTATTTACATGAGCAACTTTGTGAGCCAAAAATTGAAATGCAAATTGCATATCTTGTGGATATATTTTCCCATTTAAATCACCTAAATTTGCAACTGTAAAGTTCTGGTAATGTTGAACTTGAAGGTTCCGCAAATATTTTCGTATTTGAAGATAAACTTCGAGCTTTTGTCTGCAAGATAAATCTTTAGATTGACAAAACTCAGGTGAAATATTATTCTGTATTTCCCACACTGCGAGTTCTTATTGATGACGAACACTACAAATGTTTTACAGAAGGATATTCAGTATAATATATTAGAAAGAGGAATTTACCAGATACTTTTCAAAATATGGTGTAGTAGACACTGACATTGTTAAAAAAATTAATTCGTAATCCTTTCACTGTCGAAGTCAACAACGTTCAGGAAAAAATGCAAGAAGAATTATTAGAACTTCAGAACGACGGCATTTTGAAGAGTTCTTTTGAATATAATGAAAACTTAGAAAAGTTTTGGTGAAAAAGCCATGGGATATCCAAACATTCAGCAAACAGCATTATGTTTCCTCATGGTTTTTTCAACTACATATTTATGAGAGCAAGGATTTTCTTCACTATTATCTATAAAAAATAAACAACGAAATCGTCTGAATATCAATCAGCCAGTATCAATCCTTATGTACACGGCCGCCGCATACGCTGCTTCGGTGGCATCACTAAACCCATGTAACTCGTATG